CTGAAACTGTCAGACAGATTCGATATTTGATAAGCTTATTTAAATTCTTATTTTTACTGATTGAACGAGATTAGTATGCGATACATGTATGAAATGTCTTGCGGAACAGTTTCATTTATTTATTTTTCTTTAATATTACAAATAGTCATAATATATCTTAAAACAAACATAGTTTTATTTCATTCAAAAGCTTAAGCATGGTAGGATAACAAAACACGCAGATATGTGTAATTTGAATTAATCCGCGGAAGTCTAAATATGTATTCTTTTACTAGATAAAATGTTTAATTTTATTTACCTTGTTTAAACTAATTTACTGTAATTGTTAATCATAAATGCAAAAAGCAAAATAATTTACATAGATAGATTTATTGCAGGTAAAGTACTTCTTGTCAATTTATAATAAAAGTAATATCAAACGAAAGGGAACAACTCTTATCTTTGATAATGATGTCATTCACCTTTCACTCAACTTTTACATTAGAGAATAATGGCCAAAGACGTAAAGTACTCTTATTTGAAAATGTCCTTGAGAAAGTCACGTAGGTTTTTTTCCTGGTTGTATTATTTTTCCTACATTTGATCACTTAAACAATCATAAAACTTTGCTATGACTTTATGTAAAAAATACATGTATACACATTCAACCTATATTTTTCACTAAAATGAATTTTTCAGCAACACTCCCTTCCACGGAGAAATTGGCTGCAAGATAGGTAAATGATTATGTTCAAAAGAAGGCGTTTATTTTACATGAAATACCACTTAAACCCGGCATACCATAATTGTAAGACGCAAAACACGCGTGCAGTAAACTGTTTAAACTATTATATACAGTTTAACATCGTTTTATTTATGAGGCAAGTAACGCAAAATGCCTTTAAATTATTGGATACATTTGTTATATTGGACAATTATTGAAACTAAATGCAATATTTAATCATTTGAAATCTATTTTCAGACTCTATTGTTATTTAGTTGTTTTAAATGTTTTCAAAATACAAATAATTCCTAAGTCATCAAACGGTCCAAAATAAAATTTCGCAGTAAGCCATCATGTATCAAGTGTTGGCCTGTTTGGAGGTATCTAAATGCTATACTTATCAAATGTGATAATAGTTTGTTTTAAGTTTATTTCATCCAGTATGCAATATTGTAATTTTCTCCAACATTTAGTAAGATCTGTTATACATAAATCATTGCTATGAATGCTGTTTTATATTGGCAACATATTGGACTAAAGGGACTAACACATATTTTCCCGTTATTTATCACCAATTAAGGACTCCACCCGTAAAAAAACAGAAAGCTTATGACTGAAAATGCTATGTATGTATTCATTTGCTACTAATTTCTCATTTAAACATGCACACATATTGTAATGTATCGTTCTGCATGATGCAGCTATCTACATGTGTCTCTGTAAAGTTTCATAAAGATCAAATGACAATGAAACGAAATACGACCAAATGGATTAAAAGCATTTCATAATTTTATATTGAAGTAGGAGTTTGTACGTAGTTTTGCTGTCAATTAAATATCAATTTACGGAAAAAACTAATTTTCCGACTAATTTGCTGTCACTTTTAGTTCTCAGTATAAGCATTTTAGCAATTTTGTTCCTAACTTTCCGCTTTAAAGATTCCTAATTTGAATTAATTAAGATTGCAGGGTGTCAGAGTGGGAGTTTGTGACTTCTCTAATCTCTGTCTATGATCACTGAAACACACTGTTATCGGGATATAGAAGATTACACACAGGGAAGTGTTCTAGAATGTAGCTCTAGGGAAGCAATTTGTAATACTGACAAGTTAAAAATTATCTCACTTTCTCGGAAATCTATATAAATGTAGAATGTATGTATTCTGATATTGACTTATGGTTCTCTTAAAACAACTGATAATTTATCTACAAGAGACCGTAAAATAAGGTTTTCTACTATGCATAAATGTTGACTTACACGAGAAATTTAAAATTTCTATATAATTTTATGTTCTTCATTTCCCGAGGAGTAAACAATTTTCACTTATGTAACTTGATTCTAAGCAAGTGTGTTATTCCACCATTATAGAGCATCGTGGTATATCAAAGACAATAGACAATATCTACTCAAAAAGGATCCCAGTTATGGATCAATCATGGTCCTCGTTCGTTCGTTCGTTCGTGCGTTCGTTCGTTCGTTCGTTCGTTTATTCATTTTTCATTTTATATTTATGATTATTACTTGTATTGCTTTTTTTATTCGTTAACAATAACGAATAAAAAAAGCAATACAAGTAATAATCATAAATATAAAATGAAAAATGAATGAAGGAACGAACGAACGAACACACGAACGATCGAGGACCATGATTGTCCTAAAACATTCACCAGAATAAGAGTTGTAAACGTAAATGTGTGAGTTTTTTCCCTAAACGTTTAAATGTGGTATTTCATATTTATATATTATATTTATGAAAATTCTGAAGTGATGTTTATCCGAAGATGACGAATACCAACTTTAGTTATGAACAAAAGTCTCTTAAATGAGCCGCGCCATGACAAAATCAACATAATGGGTTTGCGACCAGAATGGATCCAGACCAGCCTGCGCATCCGCGCAGACTGATCAGGATCCATGCTGTTCGCTTAGGGCCCAGTTACACAGACGGTCGGTTCCCAATCGGTCATTTCATTTTAAATTTACTTGCTGCTATGATCGGTTGTCATGCGTGACTTTTTTCTGGTTTTCTGTGTAAACGGCCATCGGTGACAGAAAGCAAACTCAAACGGGGTTGGGTCGGTGATAAAAATTCTGAAATACTATCGGTTTTTAGCTCGACTATTCGATAAGAATAAGTAGAGCTATTGTAGTCACCCGAGCGTCGGCGTCCGCGTCGGCGTCGGCGTAACCACTTATGTTAAAGTTTTTGTAATGGTTTAAATATTTTCAAAGTCCATTGACATATGGCTTTGAAACTTTGCACACTTGTTCACCATCATTACCCCAACCTGTAAACAGGAGGAGGTAACTGTATCAAGCATTTTGATAGAATTATGCCCCTTTTTCGACTTAGAATTTACGTTAAAGTTTTTGTAATAGTTCAAATATTTTCAAAGTCCATTGACATATGGCTTTGAAACTTTGCACACTTGTTCACCATCATTACCCCAACCTGTAAACAGGAGGAGGTAACTGTATCAAGCATTTTGACAGAATTATGCCCCTTTTTCGACTTAGAATTTACGTTAAAGTTTTTGTAATAGTTCAAATATTTTCAAAGTCCATTGACCTATGGCTTTTAAACTTTGCACACTTGTTCACCATCATTACCCCAACCTGTAAACAGGAGGAGGTAACTGTATCAATCATTCTGACAGAATTATGCCCCTTTTTTCGACTTAGAAATTATGTTAAAGTTTTTGTAATACCTCAAATATTTTCAAAGTCCATGGACATATGGCTTTGAAACTTTGCACACTTGTTCACCATCATGACCCCAACCTGTAAACAGGAGGAGGTAACTGTATCAAGCATTTTGACAGAATTATGCCCCTTTTACGACTTAGAATTTTCGTTAAAGTTTTTGTAATACCTCAAATATTTTCAAAGTCCATTGACATATGGCTTTTAAACTTTGCACACTTGTTCCCCATCATTACCCCAACCTGTAAACAGGAGGAGGTAACTGTATCAAGCATTTTTTTTACAATCAAGCACTAAGAATAGTCGAGCGTTGCTGTCCTACCGACAGCTCTTGTTATCGTTTGTAAATCGGAGCTAAATCGGGCGTAACGCTGATTAATCGGTGTTTGATAGCTAGTCATCAGTGGTTAAACACTTTCCGTCAGATATGGCCGGTGATTCATATTTGGTTATCTTTGTCCGATCGGCGATATCGGTGAATAAGAGCTTGCATATCTCATGATATAGGTTGCTGTCGGTTATTTGAAAAATATTTTCACCGATCGAGAAATTTAAACATGTTTAAAAATCCCAATCGGTAATTTTTCACCGATGAAACTTATCTATCCCCAATAGCAGTTGATAGGTGGAAAACAGGTGACCAATAGGTGATATCGGTGTTAAATACGTTGTCGTCGGTTCACTCCATAGTTTGGCTAAAAAAACTACCGATCAATCACCGATGGCTCTGTGTAACTGGGTTACAAACCCTATAACAAGTAGAAAAAGTGATAGCGAACAGCATGGATCCTGATCAGACTGCGCGGATGCGCAGGCTGGTCTGGATCCATGCTGGTCGCAAACCAATTATGTTGTTTTTGTCATGACGCGGCTCAAATGTATTAAGGCTCTGGTTGGCACGAGTATACCCACACACAAATTTTAAAATGATACATACCAAATTTATTGATAGGTTATCATAAATACACTAGAAGAAGTCGTTTAAATGTACTTCGATTTTCTAGTCATTGCTTAATTGAGCAAAGATGATAAAGTAATCATATCTAAGGTGTTAGTGAGCAAATCAGGTGACAATTCATTTATAAATACCTTCGGGAGGAAAGAGGTTTTAAAAATGCATGTGTTTATAATGTAACTTTATGGTTGCGATGAAATTCGTTTATAAAGCACATTTGAAACAAAAACACCAGAAAATGCTACAGAGCAAGTTCGTCGACGCTTCATCCATTGGTTATAAAAAAGGAATCTAATATATCTCTAATGGGTTCTAAAACGAGCCTATATTAATGTCATTTTAAAGCAAATTTGAACTTTTATAAGACCATGTTTGATGAGGTTCTTTGCCTATCAGCTCATCTTGGACCTTCTTTGCTGGTTACAGTGGCTTATAGATTGGGTATGAATAGGCGAAGTTCTGCACCAGATCGTTATTTATGCTTTTAAAAAATGTTTTGATATATATATGTATGGGCAAGAAATATGATCAAATATGTATATTAATATTTATTTTTAAAAATCGGTTGACAATAGACTCCTTATATATATATCGCTGTGGCCAAAATATTATATGGTTTCCAAAATTCGTTTCATATCATGTTATTTGAAAATAAGAGAAACGCTAAAATGTTTATTTTCATGTATTTATGCACAACCAAATTCATTCGTACATATGTATTTATTTTGGCTATTGTGTATGATAACAACTAAATAAATTGCCATTTTTCAAACGCAAACAGTGCCATTGGACAATGTTTTAATTTACTAGACATGTAAATTTATCTAAAAATATTCATTTCACAAACTGATGATATTTTATTCTTATTCTTCATAATCCACAACGCCCTCGTTGGTGACCACAGCTTCTGGCACTGTACGTAGCGGCTGAACGCTTTTCACTTTAGATGATTTCGGAATTGACATTTCAACCGGGCTTAAAGGAGATGCCTCATCTTCCAGCCTAACTTTGAAATTGTCGTCTGCGGGATCCTCATCACAATATGACGTCAAAAAACTTGGAAACAGCAAAGCCATAGCAAGAGTCATACCGCCTATACAGAACAGAATTAATCCGATCAATTTACAAACATCTAGAGTTGTATTAAACGTCATTGCACTACGATCAACATATCCTTCACTGCTTTCCTCGTCAACTTTAGAGAAAATCGATTTCTGGGGAACCAAATATCCAACAAGAATCCCTAAAATCCCAAATACCAGAAGATTTACACCAAGCCACATGAAAATTTTCCACCAAATTTGAGGACATCTTCTGCGGCGTTTATTAGAACGCAACAGGAACCGGAAGTCATCTTCTTCCTCATAAATCGATGGATCTTTGTAAGTGGCTTCATAAAAATCATGCAGATATGACTTTACACCAAAATAATCTGGGAATGTCTTCTTCCTAGATTCTGAAACTTTACTCGTTTTCCGGCTGCTTGGTTGCGAAGGAGTATCATGAAATTCTTCCGCGACGTCTGCTGCTGATGTATCTACAGTATCTACAGGTTCTTCAGCTTCCAGCAACCCCTTTTTCTCTTCCTTAGCTGCCATTGATTGTATCGCCAGAGACGATAACTAGAATTGTCTTTAGTTCTATGCCATCTAAAATGTAATAAAAAAGGATGTTAACAGACTGGTTTTAATAACAAACTTTCCAGAAGAAGTAAGATATCAACAGAACTGCTTACTCCTAACATATCACGTATCATAAATTAATTGTAGTTATTTAAAAATGAGTTATTCATAAAACAGTCATATACAGGTCACTTTCCTTTAATGCAACCTTAATTAATTTATCTTCTGCCCCTTAAGCAATAGAAGAAGAAGAGAGAAAAAACTGCTACACTATATTGTATTGTATGATATATTGGTTGAATTTTCAGTCACATCGATACTATAAGGTTATATGAGGCTTGACTGCTTTCATCATCATCATCATCATCATCATCATCATCATCTTCATCATCACAATCAACAACAATAACATATCAATATAAAAGGTATCCTATTTCAAACTAAACTTTTCCATTGTGACGCGAGTGAGTTAGAATGTATAAATTCAAGGGGAATCATGCACATTTTAAAATGATTGTAATTAATAGTCTAGGTTGACTATTGTACAAAATTGACGCAGATCTTTATACAAAAATGAAATGAAATCTATCCGACACAATTGCGATATAGGAGAATTTACGTCAGTTACTATGACAATAGAAACAGCAGAGAATCTGATAATGTCAAACTTTATCGGATTTGTAAACAACATTTTTATTAAAACTATACGTAAACATTGAAGTTCACTAAGTGTATTCAGAGCTTCATTGCTGCTTCCATTTTCATGTCAAAGGGAAGTCTTATTAAAATTTATGTGTAGGCAAACTATTTAGTAAAATTTCCATGTTCAGTTTGATAATGCCTTGCATACATTTTTAAAAATTTTTCTTTGAAAGCTCTTTTAACACAATCATATTGTTAAATTTTTAAAATAATAAGTAATATTATAATAATTATAAGAATAATAATATGTTAATGTTTTAAGAACCCCATAATTGTTTTAAGAATATCTTTTTAATAAATCGTTTTCAATAACAATAGAATATTGTTTATGTATGTATGTGTCTATTTTTTCTCTCTAACTCAATCTTTCAAGTGTCAGTAAGAAATAAAAATGATATAATTAAAAATTAATACCTATACCAGAGCATCAGTCATCGCCATATTGTTTAGCCAAGTTTACAATATCCCCCTAGTCAAAATATTTCGAATGTCTAAAGCTAGATTTTGATATATTTCTTATTCTATGTCAGAATCTTGGTTGTACTAGAGGTGAGATATGATTTATATCACCCATAATGAAATATCTCATTATCACAACCAGTAGTATAATTAGTTGGTCTGAATGTCTCCTAACAAGTTCATAATCTTAAATCGATATAGTTAATACGCCTAGTGTTGCCGTATTCAAATTCTCTACCAATCTCCCAAATGTGAGTATTTGCAGGATTTACGATAATTACGTACATAACACTTCCGTTATTCTTCACACTGAATTCTGTATATCAAAGAGCAGATGTCTAAAATATATTTGTTACCCTATTACCGAAATAATAAAATGTCTTCCTAAACTATGCCCCCCTATTAATCATTTTGTAACATGCTATAAAATCTGCTACAATTTTAATTGTTTTCGAGATCTACAATGAGGTTTCTAAATTTTAGAAAGAACGTACTAGTTGCATTTAACATTTTTTGCGAAGCAGCCATTGTATAATCGGAAATGAAGTTCTATTATGGAAGCAGCAAATGTCCGTCTCTACAAAGTAATAACTATGTATAAACAGCAGCCCTGGGGAGTACTTCGATAATCAAACCTTGTTAAATATGTGAAACACGACCAAAAAACAACATTTGTTTACATATGAAGTCACATACCTTTAAGAATATGTAAATAATTCCATTATGGCTGATATAAAAATATAAAAGATATTGTTACATCGAAATTTTATTCAACCTCTCAAAGAGTTTTAACTACCCATATGTGTGGATGTCCAAATTATTGGAAAAAAGCTTTTCCGCAAAATCGATGGTACCACCATCGCGCATGTGCGTAGAAATCCAATCGAATTATTCTAATATTCGTATAAGACAAGTGTTGCTAATAAACGCTGACGCACGTTGGAATCGTGATCAATTAAGTTAATGCGGTATTTGAAAATAATTCATCAAAATAATATAATGATTGGTCTGTAACAGTACTCAAATATTGGTTCTAAATTAGAATTAGAAATTCTAATTACCTTCACTGGTAAATAAACGCCTTACATATTATTTGACATCTAATAAACATAACAGAAAAAGAGCAATAAAGAAATAATGATAATACATGTATCTATAATATACTTATAAATGAAATATTCAGAAATATTGATGAAATAAAATGCGTATTTTTATTTTCCATATTTTCACTGTAAAAATGTATATTTCACTGCAGTGAAACATATTTTCCGTACTTTCACTGGTGTCTTGTCGGACTACTTTCTTATCATAAATTCAGTCAATCAACAGAATTAAAAGGGAGTTCTTCCTATTCAGAAGGTTAAAAAAAAAAGAAAGAAAAAGTATATAATAAACAGAAAATTCAAGTTTTTTCTATTAATCCATTAATTTCCATGTTGTGGAACGAAAATAATTTTTAAACAGGTGTCCTACAAAAAACCAACTTAAGAACGCTAATGACCTTGATTGATTGTTATGGCATAGCTCCCGAGGGTAACTCACTTTTTATAAATTGTGGTATTGCTGGTATTGTTTATTTAAATGTCAACAAAAAAGTAAGAATCTTATAAAGTCAATTGTAACCATGGCGTTCCAAGACCGGGAAAAATGCGAACTTTGACTTGGATGTTCAAATTTCCTGGTTGCACCTCTCTAACACCCATCCTTCCCTTTCTGAGGCAGACAAATTGTAAAATTTCCGCTTAAAACCCCGGCACTACAATTTGGTCATTTTTTACTTCCACCTATTGTAGGCGAAAATTCGAGGTACGATCTACGCAATGCTACAAATATTCAGACTATTCGAACACGAACATCTCTTTATCATAATGCTTTTCTACCAACTGATCTGATTAAATGGAACGCCCTTTCAAGTGAAGTACAAAATTTACCTTCACTCTCCTCTTTCAAATCTCATCTGAGACGAAGCAGCTCTAGTTGTCCGATTTATTTCTATGACGGCGATAGAAAATGGCAGATCTATCATGATCGACTTCGTACTGAATGTAGTTCTCTAAATCAGCATCTATTTTAGAAGAAAAAAAAATTCTCCATCTCCTCTTGAATGTCAACGCTATGTTGACAGCATGGCCTGTTTTCTTAACACTATATTTACTATTTGCTCAGCAACACTTCAAACGTTATTAAATGGAGACCCAAACATTAGTGATGATGCAAACAGAAGACTGTTTGAAGCCGTTCATACATACATCCGAGAAAGCAGGAGATTTTCTTAAGCATATTCACATCAGCTCAAATCACTAAATGATTCCTATTCAAATCGTCGAACTATCCGAATGATCCACATTTCACTTATTTCTTCTTTTCTATTTTGCTGAAAGTTTCTGCCTTTATATCTTTCTATCTTATTTTGTGTTATTTCTCTTTAATTTCATATAACAAAATGATGCAGTCTTGTATTCTCAGTCTTTTTTGTGTATATTTTTTGCTTTATATTAGAACTAAATGTTAAAAACAATTTTGACTTATATTACTTAAAACATGTAAAATCAGATATATTTTAAGCAAGTCACGTATACCGTATTTTATGCACTGTAAATCTAAGCTCAGCTTTCGGACCCAATGCTTTTTCAACAATTCATATGTGTATTGTGTACATTATTACTGCTATTATCTGTATATATGTGTATACTGTGAATTTGTTCTAAACTAAGTGGCACATATAAATAGAATTTAAGTGATTCTATTCTCGTTTCCGATTTGTTCATGGCTACATGTAATATTTCGAAAGCGGATCGATGTATATATATTTTTATTCAATGGCAATGTTGTACACGTGTTCTATTATATATAGAATGGTAGACTGTGTTTTATTCACTCGAGTAATTGCATATTGCAATGCCAAGAATGGGTGTAAGATGCTTACCCACCCATTGTAATATTTAACGCACACCCATTGTAATATTTAACGCACACCCTTTGTAACATTTAACGCAATCTAATGATGTATTTTAAATTGCGACATATTCGAGTAATTTTATGTCGAATGTTGTTGATGATATGTATGACTTGAAACACACAAGCAGTTATGTGAAGTTATATATTCATATAAGAATGAATAAAAAAAGGTTAACAATAAGCTAGTTTGCGTCGTTGCAACGATCTAGTAAATCAAGCTTTACAAAGCATCTCGTGAAAACATACAGGTTTCCATTACAGTGGTGATGATAATCTATGTGAATTAATTTATTGACTAATACAAGTGTTATATATTTAATGGCCAGACAAACCATATATTACATTTTAAATTTATCCGTTGTGTTACTATGTTGATTTTTTGTTGCCTCCATTGAAAAAGGAATAATTAAAACACAGTTGTCTGAAAGACTTTAGTAGGAAGCATGGGAGTATAATCGATGTAGGTTTCCCATATGTTCCGTATAAAATATTCACACAACCCCGGTATAGATCTGAACAACCCATGCAGTTTCTTAATCGGGCGGACGAGCTGTCAGAGAGATAATGTAAGACAGGAACTCAATACTACGACTGTAAATTATATATATCCACACGATAATATCCTAGCTGACAATGTCATTTACATCATTCCACCTCAAGGCAAGCAGGGTGTACAGCTTCCAATACAGGAAACATATCGCAAATGCACAGTGGTCAAAGATGATATAATATGAGAAAAATTTCCATGTTTTATTGTTAAATAATAAACAAAGACATAATACATAAGACACGATGGAATATGAGTTTTCCAAATGAGCTAAGTTGTTCAATATTTTCTACAGAGTTAAAACATTACAGTAGAAAACAATGTATACATCTTTTGATATTATTGCAAATTGTCAAAACCATTTTATGCATGAGATTACAAGTCAAAAATGGTCGTCACTCAAACATAAAATGATATGCCAAGATCCACCTGCTAGCTTCATAAATTGTGTGATTTACCATCAATACATACATTTTGATCTTTACAGCTTATGTAGGAAGTTAAGTAGTGACAATCATTCCTACCAAAAGGTGAGAAAAATTTACATTTTTGCTTCTCCAAATAGCGAGACATAAAAGCTAAACTTTGTCATTATTTTCAAACAAAAATACATATTTATCAGAACTATTGGACATTGTATTTTAGTGTCCATACTTAAAACTTTTATTTTTAACCTGACAGCTCATTTTACATGTGAGTAACGGCAGAATTGCTATGTTTATGTAACGGTAGTTAAACAAGACTAAAATTGAAGGAATAAGAAAAGTAAACAAGACAACTGTATTCTATTATATCAGTACAAAACACATCATAGAAATAATTCTTACTCGAGTAGGAATTTTGATTACAAATTGGTAATAAGTTAAAGTTAAGGTTGCTAATTACTAGTACTTTATATAGTATAAATATTACCTATGTTTACATTACCCAAATTATAGGAATATATTGTAATCAAAACAACAAAGTGACAAAATCATACAGCAAGCAAAATGCCTCAACAAGAGATTACAAATTTCTATTTCATTTAAATTGCATGACAAAATCAGACATCAACAGCAAAACAGTATACATATTTCTAGGCATGAAAAAACAAAAGCAGGCACAAACTTAGGTTTTTTAAAATAATGTAACACTTATAGGTAGAATATTAAACCCTCATTCATTTTCTCCAAGTCATGTTTTAGATAATACATGTATTATTTACTTTAATTTCATCTACATTATGCATTAAAGCATTTACACAGATATTCAAATAATGCCATATATAATGTACATTAAGTGCCAAGTGATATAAATTATCCCACAAAGAAACAATGACTAACACATAATAAAAGTACTCTATAATTGTGTTGTTTTCATAAAATGATCATTAGAAAATTGAGCAGCTGATGTGAAGGCAAGCCTGACGTTATACTGACAGCTGAAGTCCATCAGTATTGCTGCACTAATGTACCAGTTGACCTGACTACTGACAGCTGAAGTCCATCAGTATTGCTGCACTAATGTACCAGTTGACCTGACTACTGACAGCTAAAGTCCATCAGTATTGCTGCACTAATGTACCAGTTGACCTGACTACTGACAGCTCAAGTCCATCAGTATTGCTGCACTAATGTTCCAGTTGACCTGACTACTGACAGCTAAAGTCCATCAGTATTGCTGCACTAATGTACCAGTTGACCTGGCTACTGACTGCTAAAGTCCATCAAAATCGCTGCTATTACTCAAAAGATTAAAGAGCAAAAAGGTTAAATTCCCACAAAGCCAGAGAGTGCAAATTATATGAAACTAAAAAGAATAAATGAAAATCTAATCTAACACTTAAACAACACGAAAGTGCACCTTTAAAATCTAAGCATTTGAAAAACAATTTTGTAAAACAGTTTCAATGAATTGTTAAAATAACCCATCCTTTACAACAGGCAGCAAAATGATTTCAAGTTGCACATTGTTTTTTTTAAATGTTTGAAAAAAAGAAGAAAAAGATTTGATTTTTTTTTTACTCTGTTAATGCTTATGCAATATTATTGTAATTTTAAGATTACAAGTGATAACAAAAAATCTAGACATAAATTATCTTTAATAAGTACAAACTGATATGGAATATTCATTACTTTAAAAAAAAGTAATCCATGAGAGACAATAATGATTATTACATAGTAATATTATTACATAGTAATAACTTATTTATTTAATTTCCTATTATCAAGACAACCATTATCACGTCTTCAAACTGTTCCTTACTACTAATTCAATTCAGTTAAAGAGATTTCACTAGATAATTTATATTATTTTCATTCACTTTTTATGTGGTAAAACAATCCTCCATTCAAAAGAGAGAAAAAAACAATAACAATGGAAGATTTACATCAAAAACGTTAAAGTTAGCTTAACAGTCTAAAAAGTTGGCAGCCATAAGCAATTCTAGAGCAATTTCTGGTGCAATTGGGAACTCTGGAATCTCTGTTGAACTGTTTGTATATCGTACTTTGTAAGTGAAGTACATGCATACCTTCTGTAAAACGTGCGATCTGAAATACACAAATTGGATGAAGATATTTATAAAATTTTCTATTGAGCAATATGTCATTTTCTTTTTCTGGTGCTGTACCATAGACAAAGAAGCTTCGCAATGTACTAAGTCATTCATAATGATACTTGAGCCTGTTAGAATATAAAATGCATGCACCAATGAATTGAAGCTCATGAACTAATGTTTGAACCATAGATGCTCTACATGTTCTTTCTGACTAAACTGCTCACTGTTTATCAGCATTATTATCTAACAAGTGCTGTCACATGTCATTATGCTCAACTATTTTCTGTTTGGTAGAAAATATTTTGCATGGCTCTCATTGCTTAAGTTCAGAAAGACGATCAGTAAAAAATCATTCTAGAGATATGGGTCTCAATTATGATAAAAAGATGCCTAAATTTTCAAGTGTAAAACCTTAACCAGAAATGATTATAAAGGGTTATTACTCATGAAAAGGCCATGATAATTATGGGTCTTGGTTGATGAGCTAAAATTGTTATTTGAAAACATAAGCGGCTTTTAAAGCCAAGTTTCAATTGAATAACCTTAGTTGTTACCCTGGCAAAACTGCGACACAAGCTCACTAATGTTAGTGCAGCTAAACTCATATCAGATGTTCCCACTATATTCAAACTGACATGTCAGAAGAAAGTCTTCACTTTAAATCAGCTGCATAAATGGCATTTGCAATTTATTACATCTCTACAACTGAATAAATAAATAAAATCTAATTATAATTTCAATTAATATAACTACTAATTTAATAACTTTGACTTAATTCAATGAATTAGCGGTAGGGTAAGGAATTAAGGAATGTACAGATTGATTCAAAATCAATGAGACCTTCAAACTCTTTTTGACCTTGGTATGCAATTTGATACATAATGCAGGAAACACAACAGATCAGGTTGCTCATTAGCAAAAGTTCTGCAGGGTCTAGACGATCAACAATTAAATCACTCTTTGCTATACACCAGATCAATATTGTATATAACTATTAACCAAAGATAAAATGTCTTATATACAGACAATATCTGATTCCAGAAAAGTAGCACATACATTCCAGTACAAAACATTTTAACATGACCAACATGATTAGGTGCTGGATTGCAAAAACACCCACGACCATATGCACTCGCTGAAGAACAAACATTGTGTATGAACAATCTGAAAACCTCCATGTTCCTTTTGACAGCATATATCCCATTTCAAGATAAGCAGGTAAATAAGCACTAGTGCTTTTTTAAATACTGATCCCTAGCTATACAGATCATGTCATGTATATCTGACAACAAAATGCGTTGTTGATTTGTCAAGGGAGAGATGTGAAAGAAATAGAAAGCTTGAATCATTTCACATAGGAAACTTGTACCACATAAAACATACTTCCTTGCAAAATTTCCATTACATGAACTTTCAAACAATCTAAGGGAAACAACTCCCAATTTTATTTTTCATGGAGAGTCCTTAGTTAACCCTAAATCCTAGGACTTATGAGAAAAAGTTTTTGCAATAAAGACCGTTTCAAGTAACTGTCCTATCTTTTGTCTTAACTTAAGACTTATGACCAATTAACTCTCCTGAAAAGTTACAAAATACAATGGCACGCGCATAATCCTGGATTGGAGTTACTATGTAATTGATTATAGCAAGTATAAAAGCAATGTATTGCCCTCTTATCATGTTGAGTGAAAATATATACCATATTGCACGAAAAACGATAAAATGACCGTTTCATTTAATTTCATAGTATTGTTTGTTTGTTTGTTTCATTTTACGCCTTTTTCCAACAGTATTTCAGTCATATAGGCGGGTAGTTTCCTAACCATCGTTCCTGGAGAGTTACACCAGTACTAGACTCCCTTCCTCCGCGCTAAACTACCAAAGCATCTCCCGGAGATAAAACCCATGCCAAAGAGGTAAATGGATTAGAAGTCATCGACTCTAACCTCTCGACCACGGAGGCGGTAATTTAAACAAGAGCTGTCGGTAGGACAGCAACGCTCGACTATTCTTAGTGCTTGATAGTAAAAAAAATGCTTGATACAGTTGCCTCCTCCTGTTTACAGGTTGGGGTCATGATGGTGAACAAGTGTGCAAAGTTTCAAAGCCATATGCCAATGGACTTTGAAAATATTTGAACTATTACAAAAACTTTAACGTAAATTCTAAGTCGAAAAAGGGGCATAATTCTGTCAAAATGCTTGATAGAGTTACCTCCTCCTGTTTACAGGTTTGGGTCATGATGTTGAACAAGTGTGCAAAGTTTCAAAGCCATATGTCAATGGACTTTGAAAATATTTGAACTATTACAAAAACTTTAACGTAAATTCTAAGTCGAAAAAGGGGCATAATTCTGTCAAAATGCTTGATAGAGTTACCTCCTCCTGTTTACAGGTTGGGGTCATGATGTTGAACAAGTGTGCAAAGTTTCAAAGCCATATGTCAATGGACTTTGAAAATATTTGAACTATTACAAAAACTTTAACGTAAATTCTAAGTCGAAAAAGGGGCATAATTCTGTCAAAATGCTTGATAGAGTTACCTCCTCCTGTCTACAGGTTGGGGTCATGATGGTGAACAAGTGTGCAAAGTTTCAAAGCCATATGTCAATGGACTTTGAAAATATTTCAACTATTACAAAAACTTTAACGTAAATTCTAAGTCGAAAAAGGGGCATAATTCTGTCAAAATGCTTGATAGAGTTACCTCCTCCTGTTAACAGGTTGGGGTCATGATGTTGAACAAGTGTGCAAAGTTTCAAAGCCATATGTCAATGGACTTTGAAAATATTTGAACTATTACAAAAACTTTAACGTAAATTCTAAGTCGAAAAAGGGGCATAATTCTGTCAAAATGCTTGATAGAGTTACCTCCTCCTGTCTACAGGTTGGGGTCATGATGGTGAACAAGTGTGCAAAGTTTCAAAGCCATATGTCAATGGACTTTGAAAATATTTGAACTATTACAAAAAACTTTAACGTAAATTCTAAGTCGAAAAAGGGGCATAATTCTGTCAAAATGCTTGATAGAGTTACCTCCTCCTGTCTACAGGTTGGGGTCATGATGGTGAACAAGTGTGCAAAGTTTCAAAGCCATATGTCAATGGACTTTGAAAATATTTGAACTATTACAAAAACTTTAACATAAGTGGTTACGCCGACGCCGACGCTCGGGTGACTGCAATAGCTCTACTTATTCTTATCGAATAGTCGAGCTAAAAAATGGTGACGAACCCCCTTGCTTGCTACGCAACTGCAATTGTACAGTGTGCAGTAATATTATTATTTATAGATGCGTCTTGTTTTGCACGCCATATTTGGCGCTACATTGTGATGTCATGTAAATAACTCTTCAAACGTCTGTACAGCTTTAATGTCTGAATTAAAGATAATGGTCTTCGGATTTATTTTCTTAGTTAGACCATTATCTATCATTCTAGATAGTTTTCAAAACAAAATTCAACGAAAAGTTGTTTGATTTTGGAGTGGTTTTGACTTAGGACAATCTTAAGATACCTTTAAAACACTTCTAGACTTAGGAGCGTTTTTGGACATAAGTATAGGAGTCAATAGTTAGGACCTTTTTTAAGACTTTCTTTTAAACGCAAAATTGTCACAATTTTTATCTTAAGACAAACATAAGACTTAGGACTCTCCATGAAACGCAGCCCAGCTTTTTAAATCTTTATTACAAATATAAAGAAAATGCCTATAAATGAACGTTTCCTGTTGTTGTCAATTTAATGGTAATGGACACTGGTTCGTCAATAAATGTTAAATAAAATTAAGCTTTTAAATCATCATGCTACATAATAATGTATGTTATTTTACATAAATCATAAAGATATTAGTATGGTGTAATTAGTAAGAACACTATCACAGTATACAGTCAATACATCAGGACACTAAAGAAGAATGTAAATTTCACTGTATTGTCTTTAATAAACCATTTCAATCAAAATAAGATTATTTATTGAAAGCTTATACTTATCGTAATGCGTTATAAAGAATGATAATATAGACATTAAAAACTGTATGGTCCATTCATTACGTACATTTGTGAAATACGGTGCACTGCATAAACCACAGTAAGAGTTTATTAGAGAAATTATTTTTTGTCCAACAGGATTGCAGTATTTCAAATGAGTTGTAAAACATTTACTTTGGTAAATCGGCAAACTGTTAATCAGTCTAGTTAATCGACTGTTTTTAAAGATAATTTAACACTAAGCAGGTACGCATTTACAAAATTTAATTAGTCTGACCAGTTTAACTTTGTAAATATGTACTTATAAACATTAACCTATACATAATGATTTAAATGTACATGTATATACTTACGGTATTTCTCTAAAATTTATTTCATTTGTTTCATTTTCAGCAAACTGACCTGCAACAACCAAAATAATTAATTTTAATTATAGTTATACAGGTCTGGAATTCAATATCAAGATAGAAAAGAATTCATTTTATGATCTAACTTTATGCTTTCATATAAACAAGAAAGTATTTATTTTTCTAAAATGTCCTTTTGTTAAATGCAAAAAATTAATAGAATAAAATCTAGGTTGGTATAAAAACACACTTTAATTCCTTGTTTCTTATGTAAAACTAGAGCTCCGTGAGTCGGATGTGTCACCTTGTGAACAATGTAGTTTAGGAGAAATGGCCAGGACAAAAATTAAATAGGAAATACCAAAGGGCAATAACTAAAAAAACAAGATATGTTTGTAAAACATGTATGCCCCCTATCAGCAGCCAATTATTCATGTGATAAGGTAATTATGCATGACTTCTGACCCAGTGATCAAACAATTAATAAGGGTTATCAAGTATCTACTGGTCATGACCTTGACCTTTGACCCCTTGACCCAAAACTCAATAGTGGTCATCTGCTGGTCAAGACCAATCATCATACAAAGTTTGAAGTTCCTAGGCCTAAGCGTTTTTAGTTAATTGATCAGAAACCGTTTTTACTTACAAGGTCAATGTGACCTTGACCTTTGACCCCTTGACCCCAAAATCAATAGGGGTCATTTGCTGGTCATGACTAATCATCATGCCAAGTTTGAAGTTCCTAGGCCTAAGGGTTCTTTTATTATTGATCCGAAACCGTTTTAACATACAAGGTCAATGTGACCTTGACCTTTGACCCCAAAATCAATAGGGGTCATCTGCTGATCATGACCAATCACTATGCCAAGTTTGAAGTTCCTAGGCCGAAGCGTTCTTTAGTTATTGATCAGAAACCGTTTTTACTTACAAGGTCAATGTGACCTTGACCTTTGACCCCTTGATCCCAAAATCGAAAGGGGTCATCTGCTGGTCATTAAAAATCACCATACCAAGTTTGAAGTTCCTAGGCCTAAGCGTTTTTAAGTTATTGATCAGAAACCGTTTTTACTTACAAGGTCGATGTGACCTTGACCTTTGACCCCTTGACCCAAAACTCAATAGGGGTCATCTGCTGGTCACCACCAATCATCATACAAAGTTTGAAGTTCCTAGGCCTAAGCGTTTTTAGTTAATTGATCGGAAACCGTTTTTACCTACAAGGTCAATGTTACATGACCTTTGACCCCTTGACCCTAAAAACAATAGGTCATCTGCTGGTCATGACCAATCACCATACCAAGTTTGAAGTTCCTAGGCCTAAGGGTTCTTAAGTTATTGATCGGAAAGCATTTTTACCTACAAGGTCAATGTGACCTTGCCCTTTGACCCCTTTACCCCAAAATCAGTAGGGGTCATCTGCTGGTCATGACCAATCACCATACCAAGTTTGAAGTTCCTAGGCCTAAGGGTTCTTTAGTTATTGATCGGAAACTGCTTTTACCTAAGAGGTCAATGTGACCTTGACCTTTGACCCCTTGACCCCAAAATCAATAGGGGTCATCTACTGATCATGACCAATCACCATACCAAGTTTGAAGTTCCTGGGCCTAAGGGTTCTTTAGTTATTGATCGGAAACTGTTTTTACCCCTAGAGGTCAATGTGACCTTGACCTTTGACCCCTTGACCCCAAAATCAATAGGGGTCATCTACTGATCATGACCAATCACCATATCAAGTTTGAAGTCCCTAGGCCTAAGGGTTCTTTCGTTATTGATCGGAAACCGTTTTTATCTACAAGGTCAATGTGACCTTGACCCCTTAACTCCAAAATCAATAGGGGTCATCTACTGATCATGACCAATCACCATATCAAGTTTGAAGTTCCTAGGCCTAAGGGTTCTTTCGTTATTGATCGGAAACCGTTTTTACCTACAAGGTCAATGTGACCTTGACCTTTGACCCCTTGACCCCAAAATCAATAGGGGTCATCTACTGATCATGACAAATCACCATACCAAGTTTGAAGTTCCTAGGCCTTAAGGTTCTTTAGTTATTGATCGGAAACCGTTTTTGCTTACAAGGTCAATGTGACCTTGACCTTTGACCCCTTGACCCCAAAATCAATAGGGGTCATCTACTGATCATGACAAATCACCATACCAAGTTTGAAGTTCCTAGGCCTTAAGGTTCTTTAGTTATTGATCGGAAACCGTTTTTGCTTACAAGGTCAATGTGACCTTGACCTTTGACCCCTTGACCCCAAAATCAATAGGGGTCATCTACTTGTCATGACCAATCACCATACCAAGTTTAAAGTTCCTAGGCCCAAGGGTTCTTTAGTTATCACTCGGAAACCATTTGGTCTACGGACCGACGGACCGACAAGTGCAAAGCAATATACCCCCTTTTCTTCGAAATGGGGGCATAATAATAAGTGCAGATCAGCAGTTTCTGTGCACTGCACTTCTTATCAATAAGATCTATCATTCTATGATGTTCCAAGTCAATAGCTTTCATACTTCAGGGCTGGGAATCAAAACTGCGTCGTATCCTACAAAATGTAAACAAACGCCGCCATCTTGGAGCGAAAAACGTATGTTTTTGTTTATAACTCTTTTTGTTGGAAATGACTGAAAACAAGATATATGTATTAACACGCTACACTATTTTCCGCTTCGTTCGGTATATGTTGCTTGCACAACTATTTTGTAAAACAAAAGTTATAGCGAACTTGCAACTCGAAGCTAGGCAGAATTTTTATGAAAATGTGTGGATACGACGCAGTTCATATTGCTTTATCTATCGTTTTTTCCTTCAAATCAATTATATATTTGTTTCAGAGTTCACCATAAACTTCGAAATATAATTTTGCATCATTTACTAAAATTTTATTAAAAAGAGATGTTTATTTTCTAAGAAAATAATGATTTTTACGAAATGATACGACGCAGTTGAAAATAAAATATGATACGACGCAGTTGTATTTTTGGCAGTCTTTTCAACAGGGATACTTTTGGCAATATTTTTCTATTTTATGGAATAATCACTTGAGCTAGATAAAAACCCAGATCATTTGCGGTGTAAAGCAATGTTCTGTTGATTATTTAGAATACAATTTGTCATGTCCAATATAACATTTAATTTGAAAGTTTACATTGCGGAAGCTACTTTTCAGTTAAACATGAACATGTTACCTTATTGATCATAATATCTGAAATAATTTCTTATATTTTCCTGTATGTTCAATATTATCCCTAATTTTTTTCGCAAAAAAAAATAATGTAGAAATCTATTAACTTAAATTCATTTTGGCTAGCTACGCTCTAAGTTAACTGTGTTTCTGCAAGTTCTGGGTAATGACTGCTTTTTTGTGGTTTCTTTTCAAACTTTCACTCTACACATTAGCTTTACTAGGGGCGAGGGCCTTTGTGCATTATTTCAGGCAAAATGTTGTACCTGCAGAGAACCGTCGACATTTTGAAACTAGCTTGATAGGTTTTCCACACAAAAGAATAAAAAGTCCCTGGTGGTTTTCGAATTCATAGCAGTTCAGTTCAAGTGATTTGAATTCAGTAAACATAAACAGCTCGGCCTCGGTCGGACACACCTGTCTGATTTGCTTTTTCAACAGAATTTCTTAACGTCAGCTGTACAAATAAGCAGCTTTTTTATTAACTTCTGGCGTGAAGTTTTAAGATTATAAATATTTGAAATAATTATAAAGAGAATAAAATTTAAATTTCTTATTTCGGTATTAATAGCAGAGAAATTTTCAATGTAAACAGGGGGTAATCCTCTGTGAAGTCATTTTCTGATACGATACGATAATCTGACCTTAATTTTATGTTCAATATTGTGAAAACTTCTTCAATACTGTTGAAAGATCATGTCTGCCTATATCTGTATCAAATTTATCGGTGCACAGCGTAAAATACCTTTGCAAAACGGACACCTTTATTACAAAATAATTTGAAGTTGTATCATATGTAACTCAATTTTGAAAAGTTTTTTGATGGAGAAGAATGATACTTAAGTGCAAATATAGAAAAAATACATTCCGTAGACCTTTCCTCATCGGCGATCAAGAAACGCAGTGGTAAAGTTCCGCGGCGCTGAACATAAAATGACTAAACGGAACGCATAACCTACTTGCAAAAATATATTTTAGCTTAACCATTATAATATAATTTAAAAAATTTAATGTTCAGTTTCAAATAATAAAGCTTATCTGTCCTCGTCGATTATTAAGAAAATGAATACAATAAAATTGGCACGTAAAAGACATAAGTAATAACGGAATTGACGGAAATTATTGCTCATTACAAGTAACAACGGTAGGCATGCAATTTGCGCATTCCCGATAGCGAGAGACCTTTTCAAAATTTATAATTTTTTCTCTTTTTTTTTAAGAAAAAAGTCATTCCTGATTAATACAGGGTCCAGTGGAGGTTACAATGGAATATTGAATTTTGTATCAAAAATAGTAATAACTCCCATTTCAAACTCACGTGAACAAGTTTATAAGCATGCTAAGGCAACAGTAGAACACGTTGTCATATGGATGTGCGATCACGTGTTTCAATGTATATTGCATTTGATACAGCTTTTCTGAATTTGTAGATGCTTATGATTAGTACTAAAATGCGACCGAAAAATGCAGCCTTAATAGAATTGTATTACATTTCCATTTTTATGAAACCAATGAGTGACCTCTGCTTTTGACTTAAGTTGTAAACAAGAACATAATTTAAATAGTTTAACCCATATTCAGCCTGCAATGAAAATACAACTGCGTCGTATCATATTTTATTTTCAACTGCGTCGTATCATTTCGTAAAAATCATTATTTTCTTGGAAAATAAACATCTCTTTTAAATGAAAGTTAAGTAAATGATGCAAAATTATGTTTTGACGTTCATGGTGAACTCTGAAAACGAGTATATAATTGATTTGAAGGCAAAACGATAGATAAAGCAATATGAACTGCGTCGTATCCACACATTTTCATAAAAATTCTGCCCCGCTTCGAGTTGCAACTTCGCTATAACTTTTGTTTTACAAAATAGTTGTGCAAGCAACATATACCGAACGAAGCGGAAAATAGTGTAGCGTGTTAATACATATATCTTGTTTTCAGTCATTTCCAACAAAAAGAGTTATAAACAAAAACATACATTTTTCGCTCCAAGATGGCGGCGTTTGTTTACATTTTGTAGGATACGACGCAGTTTTGAATCCCAGCCCTAATACTTGAGGAGAATGACAAGGACAAAAATAAAGTAAGAAAATCAACAAAGGGCAATAACTCAAAAAATAAGAAATGCAGAGTATCAGTTCTTATGCACTGCACTTTTTCTTAATGAGATCTATCATCCTATGAAGTTTCAAGTCCATAACTTTTATACAGAAATGGCCCGGACAAAAATAAAGTATAAAAATTTACAAAGGGCAATAACTCAAAAATTAGGAAGTGCAGAGTACCGGTTCTTGTGCACTGCACTTCTTCTTAATGAGATCTATCATCCTATGAATTTTCAAGTCCATAGCTTTTTTAGTTGAAGAGAAATGGCCCGGACAAAATTAAAGTATGAAAATTAACAAAGGGCAATAACTCAAAAAAAAAAGAACTGCAGAGTAACGGTCCTTGTGCACTGCACTTCGGGTTATTGAAAGAAGCATTCATACCAAGTTTGAAGTCAATCAGACTTATAGTGACTGAGTTATGCTCCGGACAAGCTTTGGGGGGCGCCGACAACGACGCCGCCGACAAAAGTAACCCCTATATGTCACCTTTTCAAGGCAACACAAAAAATATCATAACATGACAAATATTCATTTACAATGTACCTTCTTCGTTTCTTAAAGGGTATAAAGCTATATATATATATCTATTATCGAATACTTTTTTTTTATTCAAAATGGTAAAATTATGTCATTTCCATAATCTTTTGGTTGTTATCTAAAAAGTTGTAACCTGGAATGTTTCTGTTACTTAAAACACATGAATACTGTATACAAACAGAATTAAATGTTCTGAATCAAAATATGCAGCAGTTAGCTTTAACTTCAAGATTGATTTCAATTGTGAAATATTGATTTTGTTTATGCCCGATTCGCTAAAAACGAAATTTACCAACATATACAACATATATATTATTTCTTTCATACATTTATTTTGGAACTATTTTTTTTTCAAAATTCAAACAAAATTATTGCAAACTGCAAGCAGCAGAGAGCAAGATAAATCTTAATACACATTAAATATAATTTATATGAACCTTTTTTTTTTGTTGGGTTATTAAGCTGCACCAACACCGACTGTACAGGTCATATGACGACTTTTCAGCTTTACTGATGGAAGAAGACCTTGGGTGCCTTTATGCATTATATCAGGTACAAAAAGGCACCCGAGTAGAACCACCAACATTATGTAAACTTGCTGGATAGCTTCCTCACATGAAAGAATCCAAAGTCCCTAGTGGGACTTAAACCTACAATCTAACAAATTTTGAGTATTCATTATCATTGATATTAACATTAATTCCTACATTAAAAATTGAGTACATAAATCGTAAGCATGCTTCCTGAAGTCTAATATAATAACTGAGTTATCAGTATTTTATCATGAAATCCGAATGTGAACTCATATGAAAATACAATAGTTAGTATAATAATACATACCTGGCCCACTCAACATAGCTTTAATAGTGCCAGATGTTAAAGCGTGATCTCTTTTAACAATAAATTCATGACCATCTGATGACACAAGTTTTACATACATAGCATCTGGCCCTTCACAGCCCCCATACACCTTCTCCTCATCCCCTTTATCTCCTTTCTCATCAGACATTATGTTGTTTTAACCCCAAACTGAAAATGAAAATTGTGGCATCTCAGTTAATCTATCAGTTGTTGGTTACTAATAAAAGAGAAAAAATTCTTTTAAGTTTGTTTGGTGAAGTTTATTTCCAGTCAAACATAATATACTGATGTACAGTTAAATTACATTATAAATTTGAGGTTTTAACACATACATTGTATATCTAGTTTTGTTCAATTATGAAAATTGAAGATGAGATAAAGCTTGATATCAACCATTTTTTAGGTAATGAAGTATTCGTTTTTTGAAACAATTACAAACATCAATCTGAATTTTTGTCTGAATATCTCATATAATTTCATGAGGTGAGACTTATTAGACCGATGAAACGTGATAAACTGCACATCACTTTTCTAACATTTAAATGGCAAATATGTGAGTAAGCGTTACACCCCTATTTTGTCAGTTCAATATGCTGTGTTTTGTTATAGTGTAGAAACGTATAAATAACAGTGCCAGGGCTTTTAGTGGGATTTATCATCTTCATTTTCTCTTTGGGACCTTTTAACATGGCTTTAAATAATACTGGCTTCTTGAACTTTAAAAGCCAAATTTTAACATTTAGTCCTTTCATCTGATGCAGCTTTTAAGTTTTGGGACGCGTAACAAAACCTTATCAGAAAAAACACTGTCAATAACATCAATTACACAACTTAATTCAGACCTTGACATTTTGGATCAGGCATTTGTTAGTCCGAATAACTCTGGATTGCGATTCACACATTAAAAAAATTAAAAAATTCTAAGTTATTGCATAAAACCTTCATTTCACTTTTGTCTTGTATACATTTCACATGTATACATTTACCCTGTTAACAAACGTTTATTTTCAACTAAACTTAAATTCTAAACTGTTGCTATAGGAAGTAATGTAGAACCCATTCTTTACAAGTATTTTTATTTTTCATTTTATATGTTTTTCTAAACAATACTGTTATTTCTTTTAGTATTAGAACAATTTGATGATCTGTGGTACGATCCATGAATTGTTTACCTACAGCCCTACCTACAACAGTCAAGAGTACAAGGGTCAACAGTACAAGGGAAAACAATGAGAAAATTTGCCCTCCTACAGGCACAGTTCTATCAAAACAGAGAGACAGACTCCAGGAGAATATAAATGACGGATTCACCTTTCATTTTTTGAGAAAAACAAGTTATTTGTAAAAATGTTAAAAGCACACAGATTGTTTTTATAAACAGATTAACCCTGAATCAAATGGTAAAACATTTTGAAAAGTTGGCAGTGAAGTGCTGATTTTTTTTTACCTCTCTAAGAATATCAGGTAGTGTATGTTCTTAAAGAAGTTACTTGGTTCATCAAAAGTTTTTATCAGGATATGCTTTACTTTATTCCATAGCATGCTCAAAGAAAGAATACCAGGGCATCAGAGTTCTGGCATGATTACAGGCATCAGAAAATATTTCAGTGTCACTTGTCCTGCAGGCTGCAGGAGTAATAGTTTCTAAATCCAATGTGCAGGCAGTATTTTTCTACTTGTCCCGCATCAAGTTCTCTGAAATTTTACCTGTAACTAAGAGCGGACAAGTTGAGTTTTTGACCTCTGGTGATTATTGGTGGACTTTTGCAATAGGGCTATCTTCAGTGTACTGTTCTATCACAGTATAAATACGAGTACGCTAAAGGCCTTGCTAGGCTTTGAAAATCGAAAAAATATTATTCCCTACAATTTGTTGGCGTGGCTGGTTATTACTGACTTGGTCAGGAAATTGGTTGCATGGATAATATACCTTACATAGTTTAAATAAAGTAAATGGGTGCTGGATAGTTATTTTGTTCTTGAAGATCAACTGGAGATTACAATTTAAAATTATTGACAAGAAAAATGCCCTAAATGCCTGTGATCAAAATCAGTCAACATAGCTAAAGAGACTTCAAAAAACAGGTTTTATAGTACTGCTAGACCTGTTCACTGAAGCCAATTCCATATCGAAAGTCAACCAGAACTGTGACTGACATATTTATGTCATGCTGTTATTCAATAAATTTGCCTGATCTGGACAAAAGCTATTTTAATACAGGTAGTCAGATATATTTGGGACACTTCAGTCTATATTTTTGAACACAGAACGTTAGATTGATGAAATAATGCCTCAAAGTTTTTCAGTGGGTTTACATTTCATAAAATTCGCCGCCATTGCTGCCCTAATTATCATGTGACTAGGGAGAATTTAGGTTCGGATACCTTTGCATGACATTTGGTGACCCATGACCCCAAATGCTATTTTTAAATGGAAACATGGCTTTGCAATAATGAATTACAGTGTATTTATTCAATAACAGACATTGTACCAAAAACATATTGGATTTATATTGTTTTGAGTGATGATTTATGAATTATTTGTTTGTTTTTATTTAATATCATTCACTTACTAAAAATAGTGTATGGTCCATTACTAAAAATAGATGCTAGAATTCCCAAAACTTGAAGTCCCGCGAGATTTCATTTGGAAGCAGACTCCATATTGGTAAACATTCTCTACATATTTCCCTAACAAATAGTTGGGTACACAATGTCATTGAAGTTTCATTTAAATTAAAAACAAAACATGAATTGATTTGATTTGTTTATCAAACATTATTTTAATTTGACCAAAATTTGATTAATAAGGGTGATTTTAATACGGGGAAGTCAAAGACCGGGCCCGCGAAGCGGGTCCGGGCTTTGGCTTGCCCGGCTATAGACTACACGTGTATATTTAAAAGAAAATCAAATAAAAAACAATTAAAAAATATATAGAATTCTATACCTATCAATGAAATTTTCAGTGTCAGTTCTAGTCGGGCGCCGCCATTTACAATGTAACTCAATGATAAAAGGCGGGGTATTCCGATAACGGAACAAATCTCAACTTTTCGGATCAATGATAAACGTTGAGTGTTCCGAGTGAAAACAGAAGCGGTGCATGTTATACCGAATGACAATTTTAAAACGGAAAGAATGAAAGGAATTTTTTAACGACTTCCCCGTTCATAGGCTTTGCCTAATTTCATAATATGAAAAAGGCAAAGCCTCAAAGCGAGCTTGATGTACTTTTAACGTGAAATAGTATGAAATAATAGCTCATTTTTATTTCAAATGCAGTGACGAGTGCGTGTGACGTCACACGTACTGTGTTAAAAATGGCTCCGCCCATGTCGTTAAATGAATAACGAGTTTTGAAAACGTTTATAAAACTTTGTTTATTTTATTTCTCTCTATAATTTTTCAAGCGAAATAAAGATTATTAAAAGTGAAATAAATGTAAAACTTAAAACGTTTGCGACATTAAAATAGCGTAATTGATTTGTTTGTTTTGCACGTGCTGTTTGGCGCTACATTGTGACGTCACGTAAACAATACTTTAAACGTCTGTACAGCGTTAACGACTGAATAAAAGATATTGGTGTTCGGATTCATTTTCTTAGTTAGACCATTTTCTTTCATTCTAGATAGTTTTCACAACAAAATTCGACAAAAAATTGTTTATTTTTTATCAGATTTTTCAAACAAAATGGCGCCTTCAATTTACAATTTTATACACAGCTTCCGTTATTCTGATTCCATGTCCAATTATGGTTCCCAAAGACGTGCGCGGGTGACCAGTCTACACATTCGTTTTCAGTCAGAATTCCTCAGTTTTTATGGTTATCTTTGAATTCGAAAGGTTGCGATGTGTCCAATTCGGTACTTCGGACGAAAGTTTTCAAAACCATCACTCAGCAGGTACTCGTGTTACTGTAAAGCTTGCTTTGCGAGCAGGCCCTTCGGGCCAGCCCGTCGAGCTCGCTATTACGGGGAAGTCAAAGACCGGGCCCGCGAAGCGGGTCCGGGCTTTAGCTTGCCCGGCTATAGATTACACGTGTATATTTAAAAGAAAAACAAGTAAAAAACATTTAAAAAATATATAGAATTCTATACCTATCAATGAATTTTTCAGTGTCAGTTCAAGTCGGGCGCCGCCATTTACAATGTAACTCAATGATAATAGGCGGTGTATTCAGATAACGGAACAAATCTCAACTTTTCGGATTAGTAATAATCGTCGAGTGTTCCGAGTGAAAACGGAAGCGGTGTATGTAATACCGAATGACACCTTTAAAACGGAAAGAATGAAAGGATTTTTTAACGACTTCCCCGTTCATAGGCTTTGCCTAATTTCATATTAGGTTTTTAAATACAGCACACAAACTGCCAAAATTCTGGTAGCCTTAGCAAATAGGGTTGACCCATATATCCTCCAGTACTTTATTTCGACGCATCTTAATTACGACGCCATTTTTGTTTTGACCTCGATTTCGTTTTGGGGTTTCCGTGTGACGTCATTCCCGCGCTTTTTTGTAAGTTAACATTTCGGTGATTTCTATCAGCGAAAATGTGGAAAGTAGGCGATTTTGACGTAATATTTTCGTACTTTTTAATAAAAACACTTAAAAATGGTGTTTTTTTCTTATTACTAATTTTGTATAATTTTGAAAGTATAGTTTTCTCAAAATTGATAAAATGACAGTCGGACCAGCCGACACCCTAACTCGCCGCTATTTTTAGAAAGCCATGAGATAGTATTATGACATGGTATGTGACCACCAAATATATAATTCACTGTGTAGGAAGGTGTACTCGTTAGCTCATTATTGTGTGACTTTATGGATGCATTTATATTAAAGTTTGTATTCTATTAAGTTCTTTTCTTGTTATGTTGCTTTATTATTAATATTATCTATGTTATTTTTTACAGATCCTGAAGTCAAGATCAGGAATTATTCACCAACTTCAATGACAACAGCTATTTATTTTTTTTTAAATGCAGAGAGACATAATTACTGCTTGTCAATATGCTGTATTGTATATCTGCTACTGGCATAAATTCAGCATTGCTGAATGGTAGTACTCCTGTGACAGATGGTACTGTTTCAGAGAGTGATTGAAGCATATGATTAAAACTTTATCTCCAATCACATATGATTTCTTCCAGAAAGGTCTGAATCTTGCCCAGTTGTTATATTTTATGATCATAAGCATAGATATCACATCAATTTCAATATTGTTCAATGGGCAAGACAAGAAATGATTATTTTACTTATTCACTTGCTCATACATGCAATGTTCTACAGCCCATGGATATCTATAGGTTGTTTCAGGCCTTTGAAAAACATTTCAATAGGTGCGGACATAAATTTTGAGAGACCTGTCTTGTCAGGGTCTTTCAAATAGAAAATATATTTGAAAGACCCTGGTCCTGTGGAAGGTCAATCACTAAATTACATAATGACATATGTAAGCTTGAATTCAGTGCCTATTTAAATATAAAGCACTGTTATCCAAGATTTTGCAGTCTGTTTTCAGAAAGCCTTTGAAAACCAGTCTAACTCTTCTCTTTCACTGATTAACAGCAAGAGAAATCTCAGTCAGAAGATGCAGCCAGCCAGGACCAGGATTTAAACCTTCTTTCCTGCCTGAAAATGAGCCACTCATTGAGTCTGACACTGCTCCTGTTATATCTGAAACTGTCTCTCCTGCTTCTTTTTTTCTTGTACAAAGAAACCTCACTGACATGTAAAAAGCCACCTACTAATGAAAGAAAATATTTTAGCACAATTGTGAGTGGTAGGGCAATAAAACAGATGTTATCTTTGTTGTTTTGGTCTACCTGTAATCATTGTAAAGCATGTTTGAATTTAGTCTTCTCAAAAAACTGAAATCCTGATTAACTGAAATAATTGTCATCTTTTATTTATTTACTTTTGTGCTTGAAATGTTTCGTGCTGTTTACAAAATTGCTGTACATCATTCTCGCAGTGAAAAGGAAGTGTACTTTCGTTTTAGTAAGATTAGATATAGAAACCAATCAAATGCGTCGTTTCTCTGTACTCTCATATCCGCCATATTGGAAATCTATGCTTGTCATATTTTGATTATTTTTGTGTTAACGATAGTTTTTAGTTAATGAAAAACGTTGTAAAAGATGAAGAAATGAATAAATTTTTCACTGCTTAGGTAATTTGTTAGTTGTCACCTTATTTTGTTACGGTAAATAGTGATTGTTTCTTAGGTGCGTCGGAACTACGTACACCAGGATATTTACTGTCGCACAACGTCAAAATAAAAGCAACATATAAAGTTATGGAAGCCAGAACTACAGTCAAAACTACTATGAAATTAAAATAAGTCAACACTACTATGAAATTCCCCTTCAAAATGATGGTTTTGTCTATATTGAAAGATTTATTTAGCAATAGCATTGAAATTATTAATAAATTCAAATTAAAGACAAAGAAATCCGAACATAAAAATTTCTTCCAAATTATTTCACAAAATAAATAAATAGAGCAAATACAAAAAAAAATTCTATCAGGAATAAAGACTACAATATCAAATCTTAATCAAGAGAAAAAAGAGAATAAACGACTGAGAAATAAAATAATATGCGTCATTCTCAAATTTGGCTACTGTACACTGATGTAAACAAAGCGAAAAATATAGACAACCATTATCTTTAAATATTGCGTCAATGTAACTATAAATGATAAGACGCCGAAATTACTCTACTGCTACTTACAAAGAAAAGGGGCGCTTACGAGGGACTTATTCTAATTCACCGTGAAGAACGGTGTTTTTTTTCGGCGAGCAGGCGCTTGTCCCTATCAACAGTTCCCCGGATGTTGGTGACCCCGTGAGAAAGTTACCACTACACCGCTTTTGACACGGAGGAGTAATCAGTCTGGAGTTCCTTCCCCTTTCGCTACTAATACTTGTTAGATGCCGGGAACCAGAATAAGGAGTAATTCGGTATGTGAAGCATGTGAATAGAATAGAATAGAATTTTTGGTTGTAGAGATAACTCTGACACATAGATAACTCCGACTCTTGATAAATATTTTTGTTTTTTACTTTTGTTTTTCAAAAACAAGCACATGGTCACCTAGTAATATAGGAGCATGACAGAATGTGATTGTTTTTTTAATTTGGTAAACCTTTTAATGAACTCGTGTCAAATAAAATTACTGTAGATCTACTTAAAAAAGACAAATAAAAAAAGCAAAAACAAAAAAACGTTCTTTTTACTAAATTACAATAAGGTAGATTGTCTTGACCACAGACCACTGGCTTGGAAAACAATTTTGAAGAAACAGTTGAAATATCAACAAAATTGAGTTATCGCTTACGGAGTGGACATTTGTTTACAAATTATGGTTTAATAAATGACATATTGTAAATAATATATTTTCTATTAACTTACGTTTAATCTTGGACGACAAAAAATATTTATTTTCTCCCAGGTTAAAAATATGATATAAAACAGGGTCTTTCTATTTGAAAAACAATCTATAAATAATAAACTGAACTATATGTGGCATTATTATAATAATAATCTTTTAACTGAACTTTGTTTTGATGGGTCAATATTTGTAATATAACAGCTGTAAGATAAAAATAAATAAGCATATATGGATGAAATAATAGTTGATAACATGCAAATATCACAATATAATACAACATATTGCATAATAGAAATACATTTTATATACACTTAACCTAATGATCAAAATTAAAACAACCATGAAAATGAGGGATCAGTCATGTTTCAATACCAAGACTGGCCCAAAGACCATCATGCTGCTTGAGCATATATCAGTAGCAGCTCAACCAAGTAGATATGAATATAAAATAGCATGTAATGAATATAAAATAGCATTTACATGAATATAAAATAGCATATATACATGCATCACAATAAAAGTTTGAGATGTTTATGTGTCAGTCGCTGATCTTGACATGGCCTTAAAACTGAAATAAGACGATGTGGGGTAAGAATTGTGAGAAGAAGAAAAAAAATAAAATTTAGACAATAAAAAGGCTTCAAAGTTGTTTATCTTCCAAATAAAATTTGGGTATATCTGATCAGCTGCCATCACTCAAATCAAGAAACACAAGTGGCATGACAGAAAACTACCTAGTCTCCACCCTAGGGATCCTGAACTCTATTAGAGGCAACATCGGATGCCGCCGGGATAGAATGTTAAGCCTTCTAAACTACTTAATCCATCAATGAGGGCATTAATAAAGTGAAATAAAAACTTTAAGCTGAAATGCCTTAATTACTCAGTGTACATAGCGATGAAACAAGATACTGCTGTGGGGCGTGAGGGATATACATGTGTATGACTGTTTTTATTTGCATGGTGTATTCCGGTATGCAAATGTTTTTTTTTTCGGGATTGTGGACGTTATTGTAAGTCTCGTCATAATTTTAGAATGTCATTTAAAACTCGGTAAAATCTTATGTTGAATAAGATATTTACGAGAGAATTATTGAAAATCTTTAAAGCAGTGTAATACTCGTATATTTATGGGAGGAAGTCCACAGATTTTAAATTTCCGAGACATTTAACTGGAAAGTTTGTTTCCGATATTCCTTTAGATTATTTTATAATTTGGACGTGTAAACGTTTCAGAAATATCCTTATGATTATTATACTAATTTTAGATATTTTGATATTCCCGGATTTCGGTTTGTAATCTTAAAATGCCCAATGAAAATCTTTCTAATATTTAGTTCTTCCTTGTAAATTTTACTGGAAGACAAACCGATCTCAGACGGGCACTTCATTCGAAAAAAATCACTTTGATGGCCACGTTGTGGTGCATTGGCTTATTTTCTTCGGTAGAACCCTTTCAAAGTCCATTTTCCTCAGTTCCGTACCTCAGGTGGATTCGGACCGTATAGTGCACGTTTATCCTTCCGTATTTCCGCCTTCATAGTGTATCCCTTCACGCGTACATTTTTAAACGTTTTAGATAAACTAAAGGTACAATCCTTATAAATCGTTCTCCTATTGATTTGATTTTGGATGTTTTGGTCCTCATGGGCTCCTTGCCGTTGGTTCTTGTTGCTGGGACGTGTGGGGTTGCGTTCATTGAATTCGCCTTTCCTTGTTGATCTTGCTTATCATATTTTATTAGAGTGATTTCCCTGTGTTTGAACGCAGTTTTTTTGCTGAATTGTGTCGGAGACTGCGTTCTGTAAACGTCGGATTGCCTTGATCGTCTCTGTTCTCACTTTTTGAAAGTATTGTTGACGTGCTTCAATGACAAAATGCATGATACTCACAATCAATTATATAAGGCTTTGTCTATTATTTTAGCAAGTACAAATACGTTGTTCTCTAGGAATGTTTGTCTATTAGAATGTCTAAATTTCGTAAAAAATGGCAAATCAAATTTTATTTTTCTACAGTTTTGTTGTTCAGTATACAACATGTTTGTGCAAAATACTTGGTTTGTGTGGGTATACAGTATACATCATGTATATGAAAAAAGAGGGATGCGGACGATAGATATTGATATTACTAAGTATAGAGTAAACAAAGAGCACGAAGACAGTCGGCACGTCAAGTCACTCGGAAAAGGTTAACAGTTAAAAAGAAGACATATATAAGATATTATATACTCATAAAATAGCAGTGGGAAATGTCAAGGGAACTTTGTAAAATGTAAAAGCATTCTGGCAATCTGTTATGGTGAGATATGCTCAATTTTACTGGCAGCCATATTGAACTGGTTAAGTGCGCGGAATAAAAAAATAATAAGTGGTGAAAGACTGGAAAGATTCTATCTGAACAATTCAAGTTTGACTATTTGGGGTGGGGTTGGGGACATGGCTGACTTTAGATGCATATTCTAGCTGTGGTCGAACAAGGGTCTTAAATGCCAATGCATTACATGTACAGACTCAAACAAACCGAGTCTGCAATTCTCTTGTAATTCTGTTGTGATTAATGCTTCCGAGGGATCACGTTACTTCCAGATTTTTAAAGGTGTTCTGAGTGTACCTTTATATTACAGCATAAGAAGCCAAGGGTTTGGTTTGTCATTTTTTTACTTATTCGTCCCATTAGAAACCATTTGATATATTCACGCCACGGTATGTAGCCGATGTTACCACCTCTAAAGTAGTCCCATGATAATATGAAATGTTTCCTTCTTGTTACGCGGATAACACGACATTTGATAGGTTGAACTCCATGTCCCTATCCACCTCCCTGTTTTCTAAGATATTGAATTTTTTGAAGGGTTTTCGTTTGTTGATCTGGATTTATGGTTAGGTATATAGCAGTATCATCAGCATATAGACGAACTTTTGATTGAACGTCATGTGGAATTAATTTATGTATACAAGAAAGAGAAAGGGTCCAAGGACCAACTCCTTAGGGATTCCACAAGTCACCGGTATGACTTCAAAGAAGGATCCGCAGGGACATAGACGGAACGGAGTTAGCTTTGGAAGGGTGACATATTGGTGAAATATTTTGACAAAAACAGAAAACAATGCAGCAGGCGAATTATGCGTGTGTTTGAAGATTATGCAAGCATCTTGCACATGTATATGACAAAAATTGTAATAGATGTCTTTTACAACTCTTAAATTTTATATATATATATTATAACTAATATCTAAATTATATTTCGACTTGTTTATTTGAGAAATATTTTTTGCCATAAAAGATAGTACTAAAACTCAAAATACCCAATTATAATTGCCTTTTTATTTTGTACAGGATTTTTTTCCAGAAAAAAATATCCATTTTATAGATGAATGTCCGTCATTGGTCATTGATTATTGAATACAACTTAATTTGAAACCTGTCTCAACTTTTATTGTTACTGATAAGCATTTGATTTTGATTATTTATATTCATTTTTAAAATTATTAATTTAAATTTAGTTGACTTTTAGATATATATAATTATTCCCTTTTGTACCAATATAATAAATTCTGATTCAGAGACGCTTACTTTTTGTACAAAGGAAATTAAACCTTTCTTGGATTTTTGATGAGAAAGAATTAATACTTTGATTAAAACATTTTGATACAGAAGGTTATCATGCTTTAATTTAAATTTTAAAAGGATATTATGATTTAGTAATACTTGGATCCAGAAGAATAATTTAACTTAATTAGATTTAAATCTAAATTTTGAGGAAATTGAATCACATGCATATTCAAAATACCTTAAACCGTTTGTTTAGAAAGTTTAATAATTCATTATTTTTATTTTTTTATTTAGAGAGTTGATATGTATATATGATATAAAAGCAAACCAGTCAAGCAAAAGGTCATCCATTTTAGACATAATAATATTAACATATTTTTTTTAAAAAAATTCTTATTTATTAATTCATTTAAAGCATTATTACAATTACAATCTTAAGATTAAATATACAATAAAAGCATCTTTATGCTCATATTATCAAATTCACTGAATCATCAGGTAATGTAATTAGACCAGGAAAAATCATACTGTTAACAACATAAACTCTGATTTACTTCATTATATTGATTGTGGGATAAACATCCTCATGTATCAATTAATTAAAGATTGAACAAAACAATTATCGGAGTCTTAAAAGTATCGATATCTAACTCTTGATAAATCGTGTTGACTTTATAAGCTGTAGACAAAAAACATGACAAATTACAAAGTACAAATAGCAATGTGTCTGAAAGACACAGATGTCCCCGCTATATATGTTAGGATACAAAATTTATGATAAGACAAAGTAAAGTATTGTCAAATCATTGATTGTCACAATTTCTAACACATGTGTTATGCTTTGTAACACCGCACTTTGGGGTCAAACGCACTTAAGGGTCCGACCCCAAAGTGCGATAAACTTCACAGCGCACTTTGGAGTCAAACGCACTT